CGGCAGCTAAAGCCAAGCAACAGTTATTTGTATCTTCCTGTAAATATGCAGATTTTAAAGTGACACTAAACAATATCCATATTCCGAAAAAAATAATCCATATTCACTACTTAGACCCCTTTCAGATGGGGCGAATCCGTCAGCGTGATCCGCCTGTTCAGCAGGGAATCTCTCCGCTGATCCCCGCTGAGAAGGTGGATGACAGGTCTCTATCTGATCTGCTGCAGCGTGGACACACACTGCTCGCTGATTTCAAAGGGACATTCGGATGGAAACGGAACGCCTGTCTATTTCCACTTGATTGTCATCCGATCTGCTGGAAGAATGGGGAACAGATCCCCATCCATCTGTTTTTAACATACAGGATTGGGATTGGATGCCGGCGGGTGTCAGCGGACTATATTGTGCGTGTGTGCATGTATATATGTATGTGTATGTATGTATGTGTGTGTATATATGTGTGTGTGTGTGTGTATATATATATATATATATGTACACACACACACACACATACACATATATATATTTTATATATATATATATATATGTGTGTGTGTGTTGTGTATATTATGTGTGTGTGTATATATATATATATATATATATATATTATATATGTGTGTGTATGTTATATATGTGTATGTTGTGTGTATATAGAAAAAAATTACGGGTGAAAATAAAATTCTTGGAAGTCCATCAGAAAGCACTTCCCTATTTAGTTGGAGGCCAGTAATAAAATGCTCATAGGTGGCGGCGCCTCTCTATATATAAAATCCACTGGAAAAATGTCACTGTAATGCAGTCAATTGGCAATATGCTCTGCTTTAGGAATAATTAGAAACAAACAAGTCCAAGCATTCCATAAATATAGATAATGTGAGAAACTCTGCCCTCAGGGCTAGTTCACACTTGACTTTATTTCTAACTCTTGCCAAACGCCCCTATAGCATTTGACAGGCGTTTGGGAAGCGTTTTTAACGCTCCTCAAACGCTCCCAAAATGCCGTATGTGCGGTTTTGAGGCAGTTGATAGGCGTTTGCCAAGTGTTAAAACCACACCACAAACTCCTATAATGAAGCTAAATGGTATTAACGCTCCGCAACCGCTTCGCAAATGCCTACGCTGCACCATAGAATTGAATGGGAGGCTTTCAACTCCTCCTGACTCAACACGAGGTGTCAGTTTTTGCTGCGAAGCAACGCTAACGCTTCCGTGGTGAACAGCACTGTGTGCTGCCATGTGCAGAATTTTCATTGGCGGTTGAAAAGCGTAACAAACGCTTCCCAAACGCCTGTCTGACGCCTGCTGACAAAGCTAGTGTGAACGTAGCCTTAGGTGAAAAAAAAATTCAAGAAAAAGCAGCCAGCACAAAGGATATGATACCAACCCCAACAAGTAATATAACTAAAGTGCAGAGCTAAAGTGTCCTTCAATAAATAAATGACTGTAATAAACACATACAGATAAGTTCTATACAAAACATCTCTTTCAAGAAATGGTGAATATCATGGAAATAGTCCAATGCTTAAAAAAAAAAAAAATGTCCAATGCCAATGTCACAAAAACATGAAACAAAAACAAAAAATGTATTGTGAGATGGGTAAACAGTCAGAAAGTAGGAGCCTCCACACCAAATCTTCCACCAATGTAAGGAGAGAGAAATCCTCCACCAGACACCGCTCTGTGTGCAGCAGATATACCTTCCCTTACCTTACATGTGCTTGTTAAGTGTAAAACTGGGATGCCGCTGGGTCACAAACAAGTCTCTTTCAGTTCACTCCAAAATGGTACCCATAGGATTGTATATACAAAAGAGGAAACTCTCATAGTGTAGTAGGATCAAAATTCCAATTTTAATAAATGTTAAAACCCCTCACATTCCATAAGGATGTCACAGGCATGTATATGGATAAGTAAAAGCATCCGATCCTCTCTCCGCAGTTGGCGGTAGCCTACTTCCAGTTAGCGTGATAGCTTCACTTCCTGTGGCTCTAGCTGACGCGTTTCGTCATAACAGACGTCATTAGGGAGTGGCCACTGAAAATGGCTAATGTGTTGATGTAAGGAAGGGAAGCCATGCAGTCACAATGACATGACATATTTCATCACTCTCCCAGGGCAATTCTGTCAAGCAGAAGCAGGGCCTTTTAAAGTGGTTGTAAAGCCTAAACCTTTTTAACTTTAATGCACCCCCTGCCCCCTTTATTTATCAGAGCCCTCATTTGATCCATCACTGTGCACATCTGCAGCTCTTCTTTCACTTCTGTGTCTCACTGGCTTTGCTGGGTATTGGGAGCCATTGGCTGTCACTGCTGTCAATCAAAACCAGTGATGAGGGATCAAGGGTGGGGTTGAGTCTCACTGTCTGTGTCAATGGATGCAGTGGTGGGGCTCGGGAGCGAGCACGCATAGGTGGTACTGGACAGAGAGGAAGAGCCAGGAGCGCCAGCGGAGGACCTGAGAAGAGAAGGGGAGGTTTGGGGCCACTCTGTGCAATTTATTTATTTATTTCAGGTACTTATATAGCGCCATCAATTTCCGCAGCACTTTACATATATATTGTATATTCACATCAGTCCCTGACCCTCAAGGGGTGTAAAAGGGTCCCTAACTTACATTCACATACTAGGGCCAATATAGACAGGAACCAATTCCCCTACCAGCATGTCTTTGGAGGGTGGGAGGAAACCGGGAGTACTCAGAGGAAACCGACGCAGGCACAGGGAGAACATGCAAACTCCAGGCAGGTGGTGCCGTGGTTGGGATTTGAACCGATGACCCTAGTACTGCCAGGCAGAAGTGCTAACCATTTAGCCACTGTGCTGGCCGCAATGGAATTGTATACAATTATAGAAATGTTTATTTAAAAAAAAAAAAAAAAAAAAGAATTATTTTACATTCACAAAAAAGTCATCCTCTGTATTTCTTCCCTCATGGATTGCACATTTTAATCTTCTCTAAATGTAATGTATTGCAGGGGAAATTTTCCAATGGGGACACCTGTTCTGGTGACAGCTAAGAACAGGATTTTCTCTTTCTTTTGTGCCTCTGAGCAGAAATTGAAGGGACGCCGATAATAGTAAATATACATCTTTTGGCCCGTCCCTAATTCATCCAAAACAAATAAAAAGTTTTGGTTTCAGATGGCCGCCTATATATTCAGACCTGCCAAGTTCCTGAAACTCCGCTATGTCTCAGTGGATGTATTAGAATCTCTTTGCTTGTATTTTACAAAGCTTTCATTTTGTTTGTGAATTCTCATTTTCTGGGACTGGTTTGATGCTGCTCACAGACTGAGACTCCCGTCCTGTGTTTGGCCTCTGGCTGCCCTGGCAAGCAAGGGGTTAAATCCCATGAAGGGTGACATCATGTGTTAGTGGGATCACAGCTGCAGTGATGGGGCGGGGGAGGGGGTTGGACCCCTGGCTGTGGCGGGCTGCAGAGCCATGATGTCATGGTGAAGTTATGTTACATGTAATGGTGGGGAGGCTCTTTTTTCCTGCAGGCAGCGTGCAGCATAATAAATGATGGTGCCTGGATGCCTGTCATACAGAGACTGCAGTGCCCCTGAGGGGTTAATCCCCACTCCAGAGACATTCAGGGGGCCATTCATCAATCTGTCCATGGGCAAGAGCCAGGGACACTCCAGATTAGTCTGAGATGCTTCATACCTGAGTGTGTTTAGCAGTGCTCCTCAGAGTGACTCCACTCTGCTCCGTTCGGTGATATTGTCCGTGAGCTATTAAAACCCTGTGCTGCTGTAAAGTTGGTCTTTTAGGAAGTAGTAGTTAAAGCTTCCCTGGTCCCTTCCTTTTCTCACCCCCATTCAACATACTGATGACATTCTGCTGGCTTTTTTTTTTTTCTTTTATTCCATACCTTATTTTGGATCCAGTGATGTCATCACTGAGTGTCTTCTAATTTTCTATGCAATGCAGTCACATCATGGCTGGTGGGAGGGGCCTGCAGCATGCTGAACATTACTTCCTGAAGTCACAGCACCCTACCTTAGTATTACTCCTAGTGGTCCTCAGCCCCCATGAAAGCAGTGGGCTGGCTCTTGGGAGGAGTCACTCAACTGTCATAATGCATGCAGATATCCTTAGGTATCACTCAGATGTGATGCTGATCCTCCACCATTGAAGGACGTGAATTCCAGTAAATAAAAGGGGTGGGCCAGTCAGTTTGGAGAGGAAAGGGCTGGATGATGCTGGAATGCCCACTCCTCCAGAATAACATCCATCCATTAAGGCATTTTGATATTTGCTCCTTAACTCCTCTCAAGAGCCATTGATGACATCTCTGGGTCTCAAATGTAATGTAATGAAAATTTCAATATTTTTATATAAAAACCAAAAAAAAGTAATTAGCATGTTGATGAGGGGAGGACCCAAGGAAGGAAAAAGTATAAGTGGATTAAATTTATTTATTTTTTTTTTGTTCTTTCAACTTAAACTCAAATTTTTAAGAATTTTAGTAGTCAGAGGTTGTATCTGCCATTGAAGGAACCTAACCAGCAATCTCTGGCCACCTATTTTGTCTCCTCTTAACCACTTGCCCTCCAGAGGATTTACCACCCTTCCTGACCAGGCCATTTTTTGCGAAATGACACTGCTTTACTTTAACTGACAATTGCACGGTCATGCAACGCTGCACCCAAATGAAATTTATGTCTTTTTTTCCCCCCCTCAAATAGAGCTTTCTTTCGGTGGTATTTGATCGCCTCTGTGGTTTTTTTAGTTTTTGCGCTATAAAAAAAAAAGCCTGACAATTTCTAGAAAAAAACTATATTTTTTACTTTTTGCTATTAAACATGTCCATTAAAAAAAATCTAATTTCATCATAAATATAGGCCAAAATGTATTCTACTACATGTCTTTGCTAAAAAAAAAAAAAATCCAAATACGTGTAAATTAATTGGTTTACGTGAAAGTTATAGCATCTACAATTGATGGTACTGGAATTTTTTTTTGTATACTAGTAATTGTGGCGATCAGCGACTTTAAGTGGGACTGCGGCGGGCATTCTGACACTGGCGGGAACTGACTGTCACTGACATCCCCAGTGACACCAATACAGTGATCAGTGCTAAAAAAAAAGCACTGACACTGTACTAATGACACTGGGCAGGAAGGGGTTAACATCTGGGGCAATCAAAGGGTTAACTGCTGTTTTGCTGTGTGTGTGTGTGATTTACACTATAAGCACACTGCTTTGTATGGCTCTGCTATGCAGAGCCATACAAAGCAGTGTGCAGGAGCTGACAAGGGAGAGATCTGTATTATTTACATACAAGTTTCTTCCCTGTCGGTGATACACAGCGATCGCCGGGTGCCGGCGGGGACCTGGTGATCCATAAGGTGAGGCCGCCAGTGGATCCGTGTGCACCCCCTACCCGGAAATGCAAAATCAAGTGTATGTATGTGTATATATGTGTGTGTGTGTGTGTGTGTGTGTGTGTGTGTATGTGTGATTTTGCGTACCCCTGTAGCAGTATTTCTGCTTTAGGGCAGCGGGAAAGCGGTTAATTTGGCTGAATCGGCAGCTTTTATAGACACAAGAAGCTCTGAATACGGCAGCTGGGAAGTCTCGGGTTATGTTTGTGTGATTCATATATTCCAGTTTCATTGCTGGCTCTTCATCCCTCGTACTGGCTCCTAATTTCATGTAATGTCTCCATTATTATCCGGATAATCATAGATTAGCCTTTTGTTTTCTGATACTTCTGCGTATAATCCATTCTGAGAATAACAGAATCATCTAATATGAAGATCGGTGTTCGGACTGCGATCAACTTGTGATCCGAATTTTAAACACATCGAACTCTAAGGCAAATAATAAATGTTCCCAGCAGAGAAGCCATTAACCTGTTCAGCTGTCTCAACTGTATACCCCCCATAGGAACAGAACCATTGTGAGGCCTCATGCACACTGGATGTCAAAAATACCACTTTTAAGGGTGTTTTTTGTTTTATTTTTTTTTTTTTTCTTCTTGTTCTAAACGCCCCTTCATGTTTGCCTGTGTGTCCATGCATACATAGGCATTTAGAGGCAGACCCCCCCCCCCCCCCCCCCAGAGCCAGCACATTCAGAAGGAAGTGTTTTGCCACTAAAAAAAATGTCTGACTCTCCTACATGCATGTACACATTGAGTCCTGGTGAGTCCTAACACACTTTAACGCTAGGTGCGTCAAGTACTTGAGCGTTCCTTCATTTCAATGGCCAGAATAAATTAATATTTCTGGCCAATGAAATGAATGAACACTCAAGCACTTCATGCGCCTAAGTGTGTCTGCAAAAACATGACTTTAGGCACGGTTTTGATGGTTCTATTTCCTGAAGAGCTGGGAAAGCTCCCAGGGTGCATGGGACCTTGCATTTCTGCTGCGGGCTTGTTGATTCGACAATAACTTCATTATTTACCCCCACGGTCACTTCAAGCCCGACTTTGAAATTGTGCAACTTACAGTGAAGTCGAACGATTTCAAAGTTGGTGGGACATGCTGATTTCAGGTGTGATTTGTAAGACATATGACACAGATGTCTATGCAAATCGCACCAAAAGTAGTGCATGTACTGCTTTAGAAATTGGTGTGGCTCTGACCAAGTCAGAACCGCACTGATTTGACCACTGTAATTGCGGACAATAGGGTGCGACTTGGCATACGATTTGCAAGTCGCATGGCATGCAAATCGCATGCCAAGTCGCACGTGATATGACCAGGGGTGTTCAGATATCAGGTTAAAGGCTGCCATACATGGCTCCAAGTTTGGCACCACCTGGCTCAACAATAGTCAATTGTATTTTTTTCACCATCTGTGTCCCACTGCGGAGATTTCCCTTCACTTCCTTTCACATAGCCAAACCGGAAGTGAGAGGAAATCCTTGAAAATTAAGGGAATTCCTTGGTCACCAGAACTAGTGTTCCCATTGGAAGATTTTCCTCCTATCGCTTTTTTAGGGATTGCTTTTCTTTTACTTTCACTTTCAATGATAATGGTGAACAGGACAAATGGAGAGGGTGAATCTCCCTAAGGCTAGGTTTACATCTGTGTGGGTGGTTCGGTGCAGATCCGCACGAAAATCCGTGCAGCCGCACCACCCGCACAGAGAAATGCGAAAGGGGAGGGGGGGGGGGCGGGTGCCGTTCTAATGGCACGCCGTCCGCACTGGAAAATGCAACCGTACTGGGAAGCGAGGTTCCCATGTGAGCTGAATTTTCAGAAGAAGTGCAGAGACTTCTTCTCTGCGTGTCACGGGGCAAATGAATGGGCTCTCATGCCCACACAAAATGCGGTCCGCATGGTCGCATATATGTGAACGGGGTACAGACAGCAATAAAAATTTACAGATGTTCTAATTCCTCTCCACTCTGTCCAAAACAAAGAAAGTTTTGCCTTTAAGCTGGCCATACATGGGTCGAATTCTTTCGAAAATCTTTTCCAAGAATTGTTGTTCAAATTTTGCACAATTAGTGGGCCACAGCAAAGGTCGATTTTCGAGTGACCATCAAATTTGAGTGATCGGGCATGTTGGAAATTTTGTGAAAAACTAATGAATTTCTAATCAATGATGGGAGAATTTTGGGAGAAATTGAATTGAAAAAAATGAGCATGAGCTGTGACCTGAAAAGAAAATTCTCAGCCACGAAAAATCTTTTCTGTAGAAATATATAAGGTGAAATTTAAAGACATGGTTGGTCAAATTTCAAAATCAATGGTGGCACCATCGGATTACAAAATGTATGACATTTCAGATTTTCTAAAGAAAATTTCGTTCAGAATTCGACTCATGTATGGCCTGCATTAGTTCTACTTTAACTTTTGCTGAGGGAGCTGTGCAATAAAATCGAAAGCAGGCACTGTTCAGGTACACTGACAGCTACTGGAGAAATCTGCTGGATTTCTCATTTCTGTAGGCTAAACAAAAGAAATCTATAAGTGTATAGTTAGCGTAACGCGTGCATTATTTTTTTAGGACAAACAAAATTTTTTTCTGGTGGTGTATTACAAAAATTAGTTGTTTTATTCAATATGTAGACAAAAGTAACAAAACTAAAGCACACAATTTTTGATAATTTTGATCAATGTTGGGTAAAAAAAAAACCCCATTGTAGATAAGAAATATTCATTTTATTCTGCTTTATTCCCTGTTTAAAATGACACTAATTATGACTCTGGTACAAGACACTGTAGTCATTTACAAATGAAAAAAGGGGTTTATTTCAATTTTACATAGTTGCATAGTTAGTCTGGCTGAAAAAAGACAAAAGTCCATCCAGTCAACCATTAAAAAAAAAAAAAAAAAAAAAAAAGTTATAATCCTATACCCACAGCTGATCCAGATTCCTTCCTGATCCCCATAGAGGCAATTTTGCACTTATTGTTTAGCAATACTACAAAATAAATAAAACAATGAACAACATATCAACAAACAAAAGGGATAAGTGGAAAAATATTAATGGTTAAAAAAGCAATAATGTAACAGTTAAGGGGGTGAAGGAGTTAATTAGGACTGTTTTAGGATAACTAGTGGTTAATGAGGGATTAAATAGAAAAAAATTTGTTTAAAAAAAAACTTTTTTTTTTTTTGTCAGGTTGCTTTCAATGATATCATATTCAGAGTGAAGCTCATCCTTTTGATGAGTGAAAATGTTATTTTGTGTCTTGCTATCTCCTGAACAATGTTTATAAGCAGTGTCAGACAGTCCATTGATTGACAGCAACACATTCTACAGCTGCTGTATTTACACAGCAACTCCCACCTGTCATTTTGACAGCCAGGAGTTGAAGGCAAATACACAACCTTTGTAATAAAAAGACCTGAACGCATCCACTTCTTGCCCGTTTAGTCCTCAGCCATCCAGAAGAGTACAGTTCCAGCCATAGGAGTGAAATTTTCACTACTTGTCGGTTACAACCTATGCAATCTATACATACAAAGAAACAAATAAGTTCAGAAATTAAGTTATGTGTAATAAAATGGAGAGACACAAGGAAAAAGTATTGAACACATGAAGAAAGACAGGCGCAAAAAGGCATAGAAAGCAAAGACACAAACTGAAATCTATCAGTAATTAAAAAGCAATCCTGTCCCTTGTCAGTGCTAATTAATATCAGTTGGTTCAGTCTCAACTGATGACTTCTAAAAAGGTGTCTCATTACCAAGGTATCATGCAAGAAACATCTCCTCATGATGGGTAAAAGCAAAGAGCTCTCTCAAGACCTTTGCAACCTTATTGCTGCAAAACGTGCTGATGGCAGAAGGATTTGTAAACTTCTGAATGTTCCAGTGAGCACTGTTGGGGTCATAATCTAGAAGGTGAAAGAACATCATTTTACCATACACTCGCCACAACCTAGGTGCTCCTCGCAAGATTTCTGACAGAGGAGTGAAAAGAATTAGAAGAGTTGACCATGAGCCAAAGACCACTTGTGGAGAGTTTCAGAAAGACCTGGAATTAGCAGGTACAATTGTTTCAAAGAAAACCATAATTAATGCACTCACACGCTATGGCCCATATGCACTCTCACCTTGAAAGATTCCATTGCTGAAGAAAAAGCATATGAAGCTGGTTTAAAGTTTGCTGCACAACATTTAGACAAGCCTGTGAAATAGTGGGAGAATATAGTCTGGTCAGATGTGACCAACATTGAACTCTTCAGATGCTGTAATACACACCATGTTGGGAGGTCAAATGGCACTGCACATCACCCCAAAAACACCATCCCAACAGTGAAGTTTGGAGGTGGGAACATCATGGTGTGGGGCTGTTTTTCAGCATACGGTACTGGCAAACTTCATGTCATTGAAAGAAGGATGAATGGGATAAAAAAATAACAAGACATTCTTGATAAAAATCTGTTGCCATCTACCAGGATGATGAAGATGAAACGAGGGTGGACATTTCAGCAAGACAATGAACCCAAACACAAAGCCAAGGAAACTCTCAACTGGTTTCACAGAAATTAAAACTGCTAAAATGGCCCAGCCAATCCCCTGACTTGAATCCAATAGAAAATCTATGGAAAGAACTAAAGTTCAGAGTTCATAGAAGAAGCCCATAGAACTTTCAAGATTGGAAGAATGGCTAAAATCACACCTGAGTAATGCATGCAACTAGTTTCCCTATACAGGAGGTGTCTTGAAACTGTCATTACCAACAAAGGACTTTGTACAAAGTATTAAATAAATTTCAGTTAGCGTGTTCAATACTTTTTCCCTGTGTCATTCCATTTTATTGCACAAAACGTCTGAACTTATTTGTTCTGCTTTCTTTGCATGCATGGATTGCTACTGACATGTCTATTTCATGTCAATCGCACCTTTAGAAATATATTTACTGAGAAAAATGGTGACGTGTTCAATACTTATTTTATCCGCTATATATAGGTCTGTTGCTAAATGTATG